ACTGACACTCCCACGTTTAAGTTCACATATAAACCCAATAAAGTGGCTGGGGGGATAGTCGCCGTGGTAGCTCAGTGGTAAATCATCGAACGCATTATTCGAAGGTCACAGATTTGGTACCTGCTCCCGGCAAGTTATCTTTTCACCCACTTTTCCTTCTTCCCAATTACAAGACAATTGGGTCTGATAACTTCCCCTATACATTCTTTGGCATAATTGTCTGTTAGATGTCATTAGTCATTAATATTGTGTCAAAACACGGAAAAACGAGCCCTTGAGTATACACTTCTTTCCCTTATATATATATATATATATATATATATATATATATATATATATATATATATATATATATATATATATATATATATATATATATATATACGCATATATATATATATATATATATATATATGCGTGCGTGCGTGTGTGTGTGTGTGTGTGTGTGTGTGTGTGTGTGTGTGTGTGTGTGTGTGTGTGTGTGTGTGCGTTTGCGTGTGTCCCTAACAACGGAGGAGGGTGGGCCGCGAGAACTAGCGGCGCTGCAGTGAGTCACATTTTGCGCTACTCAGCACATCATCGGGTACGACGACGTACCGCGCCGGTCCGCTGCGATGCTCCTCGCGGCGACTTTTTTGTTGTACTATTATCAAACTTGAGACTGAAACTTATCACACTTAAAACTTAAAAATTAAAAAGGTTGGCTGAGAATCAATGTCCGGGGTATATTTGAGCTGTCTCGGTTGCGCTTAACCTCTAGGTACGAGAGGTTTTAGGTTAATGAGCACTTTAAGCGTAGTTCTTATGACGACCACTGTCATTTTAATCACAGCCGTGACTAAAACTCACATTCCGATTATGAGCGATACAGTGACAACCACTTCAACTTTTCAAGCTCTATCCAGAAGAGGTCACCAACTGTGGGGTTTTCGTCAAATGCCTCCAGACAGCTTTCTCAATTGCATTTAATGTAGAAAGAAGGCCTAGCAAGGGCTGATGTAAGCAGCATCTTTGAAAACAACTCATCAAAGTGAGCGAACTTTTCTGTAGTTTGGGTGTGACTGCTCTTGGGGTACTTATGATAGATGCTAGGCACTCTTTGCACGTTTTCATTTAATTTTTCTTCGAACGTACCCACAAATGTAGTACACGCAGAGGAAGAAGTGACACCGACATGTGCCACACCTCGTTACCTGCTCTAAGCTTCAGAAATATGAACACTGCGATTGAGAAAAATATTTATTGCTGTAATATGAACAAAATGTAACAAAAAATGGCCACGGGTAAAAAATGACCACTTATACAGGATTTTGTTGGTTCAAAAAGAAATATATATGGAAGCAAAAAAATTTCACTGCTGTGAAGGCAGCGTGACAGCTAACAATTAATCGAATCTCAATGTGATTCAACTCTGAGTATCGACAGCGTTGTTCGTTATATGCCTTTTGTAGTGCTGTTCTATTTCTGCCGGCTTCTTCAAACTGTGTACTGGGCGTTCGAGAGGTTCCATGCGTTTTGGGAAGTATTGGCGCATTGGTTGTGAATATTTCTGCCTCGATATATGAATGGAACTGCTGGGAACAAGTGCGGTAGTTTATACCACACGCGAGCTTCCACTTTCCGCGCGAGATCAGAACTTCTTGTCCAGCAAACCATGACGCAAAACATGACAGTGCAGCGTCATGATGTTGTCATTTTTACATTGAACGTCATATGATTTGTGTTTGGCAGTAAGCTTTTCATCTCTGCGATGCAAAGCTTGCTCCGCCACATTTCTTTGGAGGCCTATCAAGTTGAACATTAATTGGTTTATACCCTCAATCAATGACAAATTATTGCATGCAAGTGGCTCACTTTTCTATGGTGGATTTGAAACCTCGACTATAGTAACATGGGCATCTTATTTTGCTCGTCCGGTGACTCTCCTGGGATATTCTGTTCAAAGTTACAACTATCTTTCAGTGCGTGGCTTGATCCTGGTCTCAAATTACGTTGCAGGATAAATGACTGTCTCTTCACGTACATCTATATCGATGCACTGTATGTTATTCGAACGCGAGAGCGTTAAAAAGCTCGCCTCGCAGAGAGTCTGATGTCAATGTCGGCGTCTCCGGTGGTGAGCGAAAAAAAAAACATCATCTTGTCCGTCACCTTAACATCAAGAAAAATGCAAATAAAATAAACAATAAAAACTTCACTATGAGAAGGGAATCAAACCTACGCTGTCTGCGTGATAATCAGGTGTTCTGCCAAAGCGGTACGCAAATGGTCGAAGCTGATTTGAAAAAGAAATTATGAATGTCATGTAGTATAGAAGTTCTCATTGATATTGTGTCTAACCAAATAAAAACGAGTACACATGTTAACACTTCTTTCCTTCATGTAGCAGAATAAAACTGCTAAACACACCCAATATTAAGTGAAAAAGCGTAGAATCGCACCAGGCGTCAGAACATGTGAAATGCACAGCGAGTGGGTGTTTGAAAGGCCCACCCCATTACACAGAGCTCAAACATATGTTCGCGTGCTGCTTCACGCACGCGCAGTGAGTCTCTCACTGATCCGCAAAAGGAACAATTATAGCGTAGTTGGCATTTAACAGTTGTACTTGCAGTATACATTCTACGATAGTCTAAACTGCCAGTGTTGCACGCACAGTCGCTCGTTCCTCTACGGCGCGGTTGAGGCATGCACCGAGACCGACGCTAGGCAAGTAATTGAGAAGGTGATTTGCACAGAGCCCGAATACGCTATCACGTTCTACTCTTGAAGACGAAGTTCCGGTGTCCTCAAAGATTTGTAATTGTTGTGTTTGTAACTGTTATTTATTTATTGTCACACAAAATATATACTCAGCGGTCGCACTTCCGCCATATCGGCTAAATGCTACCACATGTAATAATAATAATAATGAAATGGAATCGTAAATTTCATTTGCATGACAATAGGAACTCTTGGGTAACGTGCAAGGCTAGACTAGACATTCCCTCACCATCGTCTTTCTACCATAGCCGGTCACTGCTGGATGAATGAGACCCGGAGACTATAATTAGGAGCTTCCTAAGCTGTTTATAGCAGCGTTTACCTTGGCTCATGCAACTGTGTAACTATGTTTACGAAGAAAATAAGCAGATTATTTACAAACAAGCTTGTGAAGTGCAGTCGTCATTGTGGTCGCCGTTGTTGAAGCCCAGCGTAATGGAGGTCGGCATACCGCATCGTATATAGACCTGCTCCTCCTCGCTACGTTTCATACAGGACAAATGTGTTTTCGAAGAACAAACAACGCAGGGCCAAAAACAGTCCAAGCCGTGACGAGTGAATACAGAGCACCATTCGCGGTGACCACTCGCACATCGGCGCCGCCGACCACTACTTGCGCCGGCTGCGGGAGTGAAACCTGACAACAGCGCCACTAGTCCTCGCGACCGCCACGCGGCCCGTCTCTCCGGCGGATCTTTGAAACTGAGTTTTTTCCAGTAACGTTGATAGTTACACTGTGTGATTCCTATAAGTAAATCTTTTGAATATGTTCCAGGAGTGGCTCTAAACGTACCATTGTGTAGCACGCATATGTCATGTGTAGGTTAGCACTTGGGTTTGCCACAAGATGGCATACTTTATGGCTTTTTGAGGCATCAGAACGAAGGCTAAATATGTCGGTGTCTTTGTCAAGACACAAAAAAATTAAAACACGTTTCATCGTTTCTGACGACGCACTATTAGCCAGCCTTTTTCATAGTGACCTTGAGTCCCGATCATGGCAGATGGACGATCTCAAGCCTGTTTTTTGAAACGCGAATGCTTTCTTAGTCGAGCTATATCAGACGTCCGGCGTTGTCCGCGCGCCGGCAAGTGTTATCTATCCACTCTCACCCCCTCTCCTATAGCAACAGCCGTAGACACGCGCGCTTATCCTCGCCCCTAGCAACTGGAGCATGTGGTGCGAGAGAGTGCAGGAGAGAGTAGGTGCAATGCTTCGCCGCTCCTTCCCTCGGCGTTTGCTCACTCTCGAAGGTGTGGCGCTGTGCTCCCTACCGAGCTGCGAAAATTAGACGCCCTCCTCCTCTTCTATCCACTATTACCACCACTGCCACCATTCTCGACCGTTCGCTGGCTGGGTGCCTCTCACGAACATCAGAAATGTTTGCTCGAGATGCTGCTGTGAAACGCCGACGCCGAGACGAGAGCGCTGCTGCCCCTTTCTCCCGTCCGCTCACTCCTCACTCTCTACCATTCACTGGCTGGGCGCCTCTCAGGGTGATGGCAGAAGCCTTGGTAAAGGCAAATGGCTGACGGCAACGGTACGCTCTCTCGGCGCAAGTAATTCATTCGCATTTCCTCACGATTCTTTTCGGGGAAGTGGGTAGATTTTTTCCCTCCGGTCCACCGTTTTAAAGAGACACTAAAGTGAAACAATGAATTAGTTTATATTGATAAATTGTACCTTGACAACTCTGATGGGGTTAATTTGACCACCATAGGTATAATACTAGATGACAAAATTAATCTCAGAAGTTTCGCTTTTCGATTTTCTGACGAAATCCTAACGCGAGACGTTACGAGTTTCAAAGCATATTTTCAACATTTTCGGAATATTGGCTCTACGAAATTTTCTGAAAATTGGTATTTTCATTCTATTCCTCCTTTAGAGAACAATTCAATTGATTTTTACTGATCAGGAACTACGTATAACTTATAGTAGAGGTCATCAAAATATATGACATCACTCTATTTGGTGCGGGAATGATTAACACGAATTCAGCACCCGCATTTTCTTTTTGCCCGTTTTCTCTCTTGCCAAGAATCTTTTCGTGGCAAGCGTGGCGATTTTGTAATTGTGGAAAAAGTTTTACTAATGTACAAGAAATTGTTTTCACTTTTTGCGCCCCTTTGAGTTCCTATCCTGCTGCATTTGCAGAATTTGTTTATTGTTTTATAGCAAGGAACAAATGCTTTGATGCAAGAAAGTAATGAAAGACGTGCTCATGTGTCTGCAGGTTCTTGAAGTCTACAAGCTTGTTTTCGAAAGTGGCTTGAACTTCCAAAACATCTACGATCCATGCAATCTCACAGAAGCACAGCTGCGGCTTTTGACGCTCCACCCAGAGGTCACTCGTCACTACACGTCCAACAATGTGCTGGACACAACATTCACTCAAGAAACTACGGTAAAGTATGCCTGCTTGTCGACACTGCAAGTAGGTGCAGGACTGATGGAAATATAACCTAAGTTTCCTAGAATGGTGACAGACAGGATATATTCAGTTGAATCGAAGACCTTACTTTTGCTATTTTGCGAGAGCTGTAGAAATAAATGCACTGTGTTAAACCATTTCTTACCATACCTTAGACAAATGGGTTTGACATTGCTGCAGGGCAGAAATAATAGCACACTGGAACAATGACTCCGCTTTGTTTTTTGTTTATTTTCTTCCTTTGATCAACGAACACTTAAAGTAAACACTGAATTCATTTAGGCTCATAAGTAGTTCAAAAAGCCTCTTTTGCTAAGCGCGTAGAAACAGATTCGTTGCTAATAGAGAAAAGGAAGGTCACAGTTTTAATTCTTGAATTGCACGCTGAAACCAGACAGCCCTTACGTCAGAATAGCATCGTAAATTTCAAACTGTTCTTTCTGCGCATTTTTTGTCATTTGTTTAGCAAATGTTTCTTAATCTTGATGATTTCAGTCATTATCACTTTAGGATCTTATCGTAACATAGGTTTAACAATAAAAATTTACCTAGGCCCTGAAAGACGCCATCTGAGTTTATGCCCTGATATGTTGTTAAGAAACTTTAAGGCGACGACACCAAATTTGTTTCCTTGCATCTTGCAGGCTTCACAAGTTACCTTTCGCTGTAGGGGTCCCATTCTTTGGTATTGTACGAGGAGAACTAACTAATGCAGGTCAACTCTGTGTTCCAATCTATAATATCATGGTTCCCATCATTGTGAAAAACGGACAACCAATGAAAGCAAGTGCCACATTGATTGCATTTTTGATACATTAGTATTGATAAACCACAAATTAGTGCATGAATGCATTACAATGAACTAGCGCTTCTCTTTAACTGACAGGGTGAAACATTAGGGCCAAGTGATTTCACGGTACCGGATTGACTTGTGATATGAATAATGGTTCTTGTCGCACAACAACGTGAGGGTCAACACTGCTGCATCTGTTTAGAAATAACACTCGATTAAAACAAACTACAGTACAAAAACTCGTTAATATTCTAGTCGCTTTAACTTCACAAATGCACATTTTTCACAAGTCATCTGTTCCTTCTTTGCAATGAACACGTAAGGTGAATTGCACGAAATATGTTTTTCAAATTTGCGTAAATGTGCATATTCTTAACTTTCAATAGTTCCTTATTTTTTATATTTACATTTCTTTTCAGCTTCTGTTGAACTTTAGTTGTGTGAAATCATTTCGTACTCCTTGACTAACTCCTACACAAATTCCGCAAAGACCAGCAGTACCTCCTAAAACAATCAATTGAATAACTCGTATATTAATGTTTTAGTACTCATTCACCCAACACGTCGCTTGCGAAACAACAACAAGAAAAGCGTCATGTTGGTGTGGTGAACAATCCGACAAGCTGTGACCAACTTGCTCAAGAGCATCCCAGATGAAGGCCAATGTGAGAGTTTTTCCATCTAAAAGACTTGCGAGTGTGGCACATGTGTGTACGAATACTGTGATTAAAGAGGTGTCCTGACAGATTCGTTCGCTATTAATCTTCGTTTATAGCAGCACAGCAGAGCAGACTCGCAATTTAGTCAGAGACACGGGAGGTGCGTTACTCTTGGCTCCATTGCATCCTCACACGACGCTAAGATTCTAACTATTTTCATTACAAATGACTATCATCTTGAAGCTGCGAACAAGAAAGAACTGTTGTCTAGCATCCGTCGCATGACAGGTATATTAATTTTAGTTACCTCTTCATATAAACGTATTTCTAAATCATAAAGCAAGCTCACAGTGTCGGGTGTCTTTACTGTCCCATGTCACACCTTGTAAGATTTTCTACCGACGTGATAGTTCAAGACGGGTGCGTAATGAGCTTCAACGCAAGATTCTAGGAGCACATTTTATCAAGTTGGGAGAAAAGAATTGACAGCACAGCAGCGTAGCGACCAATGGAAAAGGTTGCTTTATTGCTGCGTGTCTTGTAATATCATTACGATGTGTGGCCATATACATCCAATTGGTCGCAGAAGAAAAAAAATTTTGATGTTTGCTGATTCTTTGACGTCGTGGTCTTTCTGCCATTTCACGCCAATTTTCATTTCATCCTCATCTTGATTGCGCTAACAACTTATGACCGATATAATCACATTGGTTTGGAGAATGTTGGATGAATTCTTTAGGAAGGTACAGACTACTCAGAAACAGACGATGAAATTATTGCTTCGCCCGCATTTCTGTAGCCTTATTTTAATAATGCCTATTATTTCTCACTACTCTTTCAGAACTTCCATGCCAACGATGATAGCTGCTCTTTTAACGAAGATATGACGCTGTATTACAACCGACCAGATGTCATCGAAGCTCTTCACGTGGAACAGTCTCCGCTGAAATGGGTTCCGTGCGCGTACGTGTGCTTTTTATACTAACTCTGTGAAATAAGTTAAACTTAAGGTTAGAGGCAGCAAATTCCGTCGCGTGAACGTCTTCAAAGGATTTCAGCGTCTTCGGAGTTAGTCAAAGCTTGAATTTTGGGGGAATTTTATGAAGGAACCCGACTTTAAATGGTCTCTCTTACGCTTGCATGGATACGCATTTTGGTGCAGAGAGAAGCCTATAGTGCGGTTGTGTGCGGCGTCTCGTACTTATGTCCGCGATACAGGAGGCATCCAGTAGTGCACTATCACGATGCGCGCAGTGGTCGGACAGGGATCCCATCGGTATTACTTTTATTGCGAAGCCAATGAATTGACTGTGACCACCTTGACGCGTTGATGCCTTGAGGTAGCATATATGAGTGTTTTTTTTTTTCAAGTTTCCTGCTTTTCACTGTACAGTATGCCTCACACGCCCCAGGTTAAACTGACGTCACGTAACCGCAATCATTACTGTTAGAAGCATTGGCTTCTCTGGCGTGAATTAATAAATCTAAACGAATGCTCAAAAGTCGACGTAGGCATAACTGTAATTGTAGCTTTATCGATAGAGCATCGCAACCCCCCTGAAGAGGTATATGGTTTGGCTCTTACCTTCAGATTTTTTTGTGTTTTTTATTCAGCAAAAATACAAAAATACTGTAAACTTCACCCTCGTAAGTGAATTTCCTCTCCTATGCTTTTCTTGGCTTCGTTATCTGCAGCTTTTATGTCGTTGTTGTAATAGTATGTTCCACACCAGTTTCTCTAATTTTTCTCCCTGAGTGCATCTTTCGAAACCTTGAGACCACCCTTCTTTCCTAATATTTAGGTGCATCGCACGTCTTTTTGAAAGCGATTACTTATAAGCATTTTGGAGTTGATAATTTTTCTCTTATTTTCATTTTTAAAATTATGTTTGAATAATATCCAGCATTTGTCAGGTCACTGTCTTTAAGTCCTGCTTTGTTTTGTGTTGTTTGTGCTCAAATACAGATCACCAAACACAAAAGCCGTTGAATGAAACAGTGTGACTGTGGACGATTCAATTGCGTAGGTTCTTTACTCACTCAAGTAGCTAAAATTCTTAAATTGAATTCTGAGTCTTTGATCTCACATCATGCAGGCACGTATTACTATGATGCCGTAGCCGCAGGACAGAAAAAAAGAACAAAAAAAGATCATTACTTAAAAGTACCTGAATGTGGTTTCAAATTGATTTCGTCCAATGGGGCCTAAAAAGCTCCTAACGAATAGCATTGTCTGACTTTTTTACATTCTAAAAGTGTACTCACGCTGAAAGCAGGACCACTAAGATAATCAGACAAGATTTTTTAAAAATTATTTTAAGTTTGATGATGTGCTTTTGATTACAAGTGTCATTTCAAATGTTATCCCACTCCCCCCTACTCTTCAGGAAGGAGCTCAATTTCACCAAGCAGCACATGACTATGCGGAATGTGATCCAAGAACTGATAGACTATGGCAGCCTGAAGACCATTATTTTAACGGTGACGTCGATATGGTCTGCACAGCTCTTGGCGGTGAATGGTTCGTTCACAGCCTGGGTGTCCAGGTCAGTCTGTAGGAAATAATATATATATATATATATATATATATATATATAGATATATATATATATATATATATATATATATATATATATATATATATATATATATATATATATATATATATATATATATATATATATATATATATATATAGATAGATAGATAGATAGATGATCTATTAATTGGCAACTCGTATAAAGTGGGCGCATATTTAGCAAAAAAAAATACGGACACAATCTGAGTTCATGTCTATCACACGTGGTTAAACGTACAAAGTGGTCAACAGTTCCGAGACCGCACGTTCATAGAAGTGCCTCGGATAGCGGCCTGAGAATTTCGACCACCCCTGTACCTTTACTAGTATAGCCCACAGAGCGCCGTTCATACTCCTGGCGCGTATGCCCTTCCTTTTATTCATTTTGCTTTTCTTGTGACGCTGCCATGAATTCCCTGTGCTACTTACAAATAAAACAACACCAACCGTCGTTCTTAGTATATTTAGTTTAGATGATGTGGCTACGCTATGCAGTGTCTTTCTTACTTTGACATACTATTGCGGTGTACGGGTTGAACGTAAGGGAAACAGACTCCAAATATGGACTCACAAGAGTGTAAGCTTGGGCTAGTTGGTGCGTAGTCATATTTGCAAGATGTTTCAGCGCGCGAACAAAGAAAAAAAGGACAGGGTAGACAGAAAGAGCGCTGGCTGCCACACTGATAAGACTTACGAGAAGAGAAGGGCTTGTAGAAGAGGAGATATAGATGCCCGATGTAGTTACATTTCTAGTACATTGGGCATCTATATCTCCTCTTCTGCAAGTCCTTCTCTTCTCGTCAGTCTTATCAGTGTGGCAGCCAGCGGTCTTTCTGTCTACCCCCGCCTTTTTTTCCTTTGCTCGCGCGCTGAAGCATCTTGCAAATATGTCCAAATATGGAGTTTATCTATTGAACTTAATATTTGCAAACTGTAGTTATTAGCCCTTCACCTCTCCATATGTTGTATGGTATACAGTGTGACAATCAAAAGGACCACCTGACTCCCTTGGCACTTTTGGGAAAATGTGAAACAACTCTAGTTCACCTGACTGATTCCTGACAAGAGAAGATGGGCATTTGCAGGAAATATGACAAATATCGAGTGATTAAGCCGGGCTGGCTAGCCTGTGATGAGGAAAGATGCGAACAAAACAATTTAATACTGTATTATACAGCTCCCATGGAAGTTTAATAAGCATGTATTTTGTACGCGGCATTGGACTGCGAACTTGTTTTGCAAAGCTGTCAGTGTGGAACTTGTTTTGCAAAGCTGTCAGTGTCCCGTATATATATATATATATATATATATATATATATATATATATATATATATATATATATATATATATATATATATATATATATATATATATATATATATATATATATACGGGAAATGACGTTGACCTCAGCGGCAACACCCAGCTGAGATTGCCCATATAATTGCTGTTGCATTAAAAGTGTTTACAGTACGCAAAGAAATGCTTTGCCTTTTAAAATGGCGCTTTATTTATTCGCTCAGTGAACGTCACGTGAAGTAAATGTAGTTCACACATAACATGGAGCATATGCTCTTAATTCTTCTACTAAAACATAAATTTAACCTAAAGATATTGCAAATAATTAGCTCTGTTTCCTATTATTCATTTCTGTTGGGTTAGTTAGTGAGTTATTTTGTTAGTTAATCATTTGGTTAGTTAGTTAGTTAGTTAGTTAGTTAGTTAGTTAGTTAGTTAGTTAGTTAGTTAGTTAGTTAGTTAGTTAGTTAGTTAGTTAGTTAGTTAGTTAGTTAGTTAGTTAGTTAGTTAGTTACGGCTATAACTTTACCTCTGGTTTTTGAGACTTCTTGGAACAGATTAAGGTTTAGAAATTTCTCTCAGTAAGCTGAAAAAAACTGTATTAACTTTCCAACAGCCCACTTCGACGTACAAGATGTGGCGCGCTGGTTCCGTAATCGCCGGCTTCGCCCAGACCTTCAGCAAGAACGTCACTTTTGCCACTGTCAAGGTAACTCTTCTCCGACACTCGGCTCACAACGCACAATTCACGGGGTCCTCCCCACTGAACTATAGGCAGTATTTATTGGAGTTAATGCTGTAGAGTAACCCAGGAAAACAAGTAATCGGATGTTCTGTGATAGCGCAAGTAGTGACGTTGTGGGAACGTATGGGGAACCAGTAGTAGGAAAGAACAAGCATATTTTAAAAAAATAAACAGGTGCCATGCGCCGAAGTTGAACCAGCAAGTTCATATTGCTGTGACTAATGAGTTCAAGGCCTATTTCTTAAGATCGATTTGCCAACGCCCCAACGACTCACAATACAAGATTCCTTGATGCTTGTGCTTGTGACTATGCTTGTGATAGCGCTTTTGCCTGTGGTATATTCGTTGGGGTGGTCTTGTGACCCGAAGGTTGTGGGATCGCATCCCAGCGACAGTGGCCGCATTTTGATGATGACCGAATGCTGGAGGCCCGTGTGCTATGGTTTATGTACCCTTTAAAGAACCTGAAATGGTCCAGCTTTCACGATTACAACACTACGGCGTCTCTCACAGTCATATCGTAGTTTTGGGCCGTACAACCCTGGCAGTTATTATTATTACTATTGCCTTTCGTGTGATAACAACATTTATGGGGCCATTCGTCAGCCATTCATTGAGGCTCGCTCTCAGGGACAGCTCGAAGCCGAGTTTTGAAGAAAGGCTTATGACTTCTGACAGAACATTTACCATTTCATATTTCTAATTTTCATTAGCCCCAATACTCAAAACTTTTCACGTGACTTAAAAAGGCTTTTGATGACGGAGAAAGATAGCATCCAGATTGATGATTCACGGGACTCAAAATGCGGAGCCAACTACCTCCGGACGTTTTCGTCCACGGCTTCTTCGATGAGTTGTTCCGGAGAAACCTGCTATACCATAACACTAGAATCCTTCTCCGCTCGAAGCCACTAAAGGATCTGTCTCTTGATGTACCAGTCCCCGATGATGAGAAATCGCACTTAGTTGTACCTCATGCAGCCATTAACTTTTCAATTACGAGCACTCTGACCAGTAAATTCACTCTGCTCAGTAAATTTGAGAAACGTTGAGTGTTTCTTTAGAGTATAAAGTTGAGCCTTTGATCATCCTTTAAGTGTTTTTGTCACACAATTTTAGTGAATAAAAAACTGCCGACACTATGAGAATATCGTAAGGCCACGCGATGTTTGTACACACACACACCATATATATATATATATATATATATATATATATATATATATATATATATATATATATATAACGACTCTAAATGATTTTTTATACAAGACGAAGGTAATAAACAGTTAAATTATGATTTATTTATAGTGTTGACCATCCCGTCTCTGTTTACAGATAGCATTGAAGACAACTTTGCCTCACTAATATTCAGAATATATTGTTAAATATACCATAACATGCGAATGTTTATTTTTGCTTATGATGTGAGTATTTGAGCTTTTTTGTTTTCTTTTCTTTTATTTAGGGTGCTGGCCACTTGGTTTCAAAAGACAAGCCCAAAGAATCTCTGCACATGATTTCCGCTTTTCTTTCAGATATTCCCCTCGCATGAGAAATTAATGAATATGTCTAGTATAATCCCACTTAAATGATACTACACATTAGCCGGATTCACCCGGTGGCGCGGGTTCTCCCCTGCATCTTCGCTGGACTTAAATAAACTTTTTATCGTCTTCTTCATTTATAGTATAATAAACAGAACCGTGTTTTATAACGCAAATGTTACAGGGCCGCCAGGGCAGCGATGGTCTCTGTGACGCCGTGTCTTTAGTGAAGTACTTCATTGCCATTCCTTATTTAGAGCATCTATCTATCTATCTATCTATCTATCTATCTATCTATCTATCTATCTATCTATCTATCTAACCATCTATCTATCTATCTATCTATCTATCTAACCATCTATCTATCTATCTATCTGTCCGTCTGTCCGTCTGTCCGTCCGTCCGTCCGTCCGTCTGTCTGTCTGTCTGTCTGTCCGTCTGTCCGTCTGTCCGTCCGTCTGTCTGTCTGTCTGTCTGTCTGTCTGTCTGTCTGTCTGTCTGTCTGTCTGTCTGTCTGTCTGATCTCATCTTTGTTTCCTAAGCTTGAAATAAAGTTGGTGCCTGGGAAGGACGCCGAGGGCGTTTGTCTTCTGACAAGATTATTCAGCTCAGAACATTAGGCATAAAAGAAGTAGGAATGAGAAAACACACGTGCGAAAGAAACTCTGAAATTTTCAATTTTTACATAGGCTATAATGACCTTATCTTTAAGATGTGTTTGCCACACTCAATGTATATTACCGTGTTTTGTTCAAGGACAATAAATATGGCGGTGTTTTATCGGGTTTCCCTAATTTTTTGTTTAACTAGAAGAGCCATGTGCCCTTTAACTGGAGCTGAAAAAACGCAGTTTCTTGCTACTAACAACATGGTCAGGCCTTAACGAACAACCTTTTATTGTGTGCTTATGTGACCAAAATATCTCAAATCTATGATGTGGTCAAAAAAGATATAGCCCACTATCGTCTATGTGCCATTTAGGAGTAAAATTTGGATTTCGTTTTTACAGATTCGAATAATTCATTCGGGTTCGAATTAGTTCTCAAAAGTAGACTAAATCGAAGTTAATGAACCATTTATGAATGTTTTGCTAAAACGTTAACGCACCATCCTCGTGCTTTCGTTGGTGTCGTCCTTTGTTGCACAGTCGTAATTGCGATGACTAGACCTGTAGAGCGAGTGGTCTTTCCAGGCCAAAGGGGCACCAGTCCCGACTGTCGGAAGCGTTTCTCATTTCCTGACATTCATTTACAGTCTTAAAAAATGCTTCAGCGTTTATTCATCTTCTTAGCTCATCTTATGCCATTTGCGATGGAGGCGGAAAAGCTGTAGGCCCGTGGGCTCAGATTTGGGTGCACGTTAAAGAACCCCAGGGGGGTCGGAATTTTCAGAGTCTTTCACTACAAGGTCTCTCATAATAATATGGTGGTTTGGGGTCGTTAAAACCCACATATCAATAACAATTATAAGCTCATCTTATGCCACGCCATTTCGGATCACTTGGCCCTTTTCAAGAAATTGATTGGTGTTCAGTATGTCCATTTTAGTTGTATTATAATTCAAGCATACCGTCTTGGAGTGAAAGAATGACGTTATATTGTAGCGCCAAACTCGACAATAAACACTAAAAGGCAGAAAAAAGAATATTGGCCTCTTGTTCTATACATTCAAGTTTCGCCTTATGACATCGTGTCCTTCAATATGTACTGAAAAACGAACTAATTAAAAAATAAAAGCATGATATAAAAACAATTATGACACAAAATAAACACAATGTATGTGACGACATTGGTTTGTTATTTCTTTTTTTCAGTCACTATTGTTGATGCACTGCTGATTATATGCGTTTGGCTCCGTTTATTTCAAACAGGTTCATGATGTGGCTCATTTGTGTTATTTGGATCTATATTTTTATGTTCACGTTACAATCGATAATTACGTCATCTCGATTACAAGTGTCCCAAAGTGAAAGATAAGTGGCCGTTTTTTGCGTTCCCGTAAAATTTTTCGGACTCTCGTTGTCTAAATTTGGCCCTTTCATTAATATAAAACGGCAAAACTGCACACATTCAGGGCAACAATTGCCAGAAAAATGTTCCGTTCTTACGCATTCACACAGCGTACGCTAAGTTAGAGCTTTCATTGTAAGTTTCACATCCGCCATCTTCGACACGAATGGAGCTGGCTAATATTCTCAAGAACAAAATAAAAATGCCTTTCCAGAAGTGCTGAAAAAAAAATAGGCTGCCCACCTTATGTCGAAGCAGTGTGTTTAACAGTCACTGGTACTACCCCAGTCCTCCTTTCATTACATTTCTTTTTCGTGCGCAATAAATTAAGTTTTGCACTAAACACAGTCTCTTCTTCTGTTACTTTTTCAGATAAATAAAAATAGAATTTCCGCAGGGACCATTTCATTCACCGACATACTTTTTTATATTACTTCGACAACTCATACTGTTTCTCAATGTAACTCATCTGACATTTCCAACTCCCCAGGAAACTTTCGTTTTTCCTGTCCTGTTCTTGCTTCTAGATCAATCGAGTACCAACATTAGCGATTTCTAGAAAAAGCCCAGCAGCGTCGCCGGGACTTCACTTACAGGATTTTAAAAGGCGCCCATGTCAACCTGCAAACGTCCTTCGCTTGACCGTAAGTGCTTCCAAGCGGCAATTATGTTGCTTGTAGCAATAAGTTTGCAAAACTACACAAGAAAAAAAAATACAAGGGAGGCTTCAGAACAGAGTGACGTAAAAGAGAGAGAGTGGGAAAGCCACGAGCATTTGACGCGAACTGCCGGGGAAAGACTGCGCAGGGAAACGATTAAATGCTGGCTGTGTTTCGACTATCGAGCCGTCTCTGAAACGGACTCACCAGAGGCCCCGCAAAGGGATCCTCGTAGCGGCCGAGTCGACGGGCTTTCCACGCATCGTCAGCGACATCTCCACAGCCATTAGAGGTGACTGTTTCCGCTGGACTCGTGCTGTTAGGCTTGCGATTGACAAGCTCTTCCTGGACGTCGCCAGACACACGCCACGAACAGACGCTCGCGCGCACACAAACACACTCGTTGAGAAAACATCCTGACAGCGACAATTACCTCTGCGTTGTTCCCGCTTGCTCCAAGTGGCACTCTGAAGCCAGGAAGACATCCACAGTTTCTCTTCTCAGCACAACCATTTTTTTGTTCTTTTTCTTCATTTCGTTCTCGATCTTTTTTTCTTTCTTACCCTCTTATAGGCGTACTTGGCCTCTGTGCTCTTGGGCCCAGTTTTCTGCTTCCTCTGAGGCAGTGGGATGTGATGTGGGCAATCAGAAAGCTCGCAAATGGCCCCGACTAAAGTTTCTTTAGGAACCATCTTAGTGCTAATAGACAGCAGGTGCTCTCTGCACACGCAAAAATTTTTCGATGAAGTGGAGTACATGTGTGTTCAAGGGGAATAAAGAAGGAGAGAGAATATTGGCAAGTGAAAAACGACACATAGAAATACGCAAGTGTAGAAGCAACTGCGACACAATAAGCGGGAGTTGTGTGTCTATTCATGAGCAAGATATTTTGATATGTAGACATCTGATCACAATATATGTGGGACTGAATGCATTAGAACAAAAGATCCTAAACTTTTACAATGCTACATCACATACTCGATTATGCATGGTCAATGTCATCATATAGTCACTGTGACAACACACGATCACAGTGACAACACATAGTAAACATCGCATCCTCCCTATGAATGCGAGACGTAAAGGTTGCGACGGCCTTACGGATTTCCCCAATGCAAGGACCACAGTAATAAGCGCGTAGACTAATACGTTGCTTGTAGATTACTCTTTCTAACACTCTATAGTAGCCCCGAAGGAAAAATAAAATAAGGGGATCCTAAAGTTTTGCCTTTAGGTATTCAACGTCGGATAGCGACATCCTGTTCCTAGTGCGTATTTCAAACACTTGGTGCATGAAACCTTTATGAATTCACTATGCCCCCACTATACGTGGCCTTTAAAGAATAAGCGCAGTAACGTCTGTGCCTTTTGTAGGGGGGTACCGGATTTCAACTACGAAGCCACTATGATAATCACTTATTCTGACTCCCGTTTGCAATAGACACTTTTACCACGCATTATTACTGCAATATTTCATGTTGCATTGTGAAGCATGTATACAGGACGCGTGTGTTTGAGAAGCATGAAAGCTACTTTCACTGCATTTTCAAGCAGAGGAAGTTCTTTTCACTGTTTTCACAAGCAGAGGCGTGGCCGTGCTGTAGAAAATTCGTTTGCCACGTAAACGACCCGGGTTCGCTACCCAGTCGGACCCAAACAACCCTGGTTCGATACCTACTCTGCTCCAGGGTTTTTAATTTAGTTGCATCGCTCTCGATTTTTTGGTCACACATAAGATGATGTATTTTCGCTCACTACCTGTGACGCCGACACCGGAATTTCTGCAAAACGATCTCTTTAAAGCTGTCGCGTTAAAAGATGTAGGTTCTTTGCTTGATATCACCAGTTTCATCGTGTGTCACAAGGTAGCGGTTACCATGAGAAATACAATTTCGAGGGGCCAGCGTATGTGAGTGAAGCAACCGTCCCGGCATTCTATATAGGCGATGATGACAAGCGAAGGTCCCAGGATTCTGTAAGCTGCGTGGGTCCGATGAAACGTGGCCAGGTGGTTCCCTCGAAGGCGAGCCTCAAATGCAAACACTCGCACAGCTATAAATGCGCCTCTCCCGGCCGAGGAGCTTTCCTGTGAAAAGCGCGTGGAACGGGATCCGGGCTGCCTCGCGGGGCGCCTTATAAAGCGCGCAAGACGACGCTGCGCGCAGCTGGGGGCTCATTCTAACGCCGCTGAGTAAAGCAAGGACGCGCAGGGTAAACGCCTGAACCCTATCTCGGCACCTGTTTGCTCTGCGAAATCGCGCCCAGACGACCACCGGGCGTCTTCGCCCGTTCGGAATTGAGGTCCAGGCCTCCTGGACGATCGAGGGACGACGCTTGTGGGGAGAAGAGCGTACTGCGCGTTGCCTTCGTTTGCTCGAGACAAACAGCCGGGCCTCCGTCACGCGCGCTTTCTCGGCGGCTGCTGGCCCGCGTGCCACGCTAAGTGCCGTGGCAGGGCTTCCTCGGTGCCCCCCT